TAGCCCTCCCTTCACCCCCTCCACCCTTCCCTATTTACAAAGACTTTATTTCCATTTTTTCCATTTCTCATCATTTTTCCTTTCCCTTCTTTGCTTTCCCCTGCCCCTCCCACTACCCCTACCCCTTTGGACCTTTTCTTCCTATTTTACATTGAGAATTTCTTCTTTAAATACTTAGTAGAATCCAGCAGTAAGCCCATCTGGGCCTGGGGCCTTCTATTTTGCAAGGTTATTAATTATTAATTCAAATTCTTTACTATAAATAGCTTTATTAAGATTGTAACTTCCTTTGTGCATTTTTGCAAAAAGTATCTTTTAAGGAAGTTACATATTTCATCTAGATTTTCAAGATTGTTGGCGTACAGTTATTCATAATATTTTTTTATTATCCTCTTTTTCTGTGGTGTTGAGGATTGAACCCAGGGCCTTCATACTGAGCTACACCCCAAGTGCCGCCCTTTTACAATTTTGAGACAGGTTCTTACTAGTTGCTAAGTTGCCCAGGCTGGACTCAAACTTGCAGTCCTCCTGCCTCATCCTCCAGAGTGCTGGGATTACAGGCATGTGCCACCACATTCAGCTTTTATTATCTTTGTGATATTTATGGAATCTGTAGTAATTTCTGAAATTACTAATTTTTGTGCCTCTTTTAACCTTAATCTGGCTAGAATTTTTATTTTAAAAATTTTTGTGTGTATTCAAAGAAACATCTAGTGTTGTTGATTTTCTCTATTGATTTTCTGTTTTCAGTTTTGCTGAATTTTGCTCTAATTTTAACATTTCTTTTCTTCTGTTTACTTTGGACTTAATTTCCTCATTCTTTTCTATTTTTCTAAAGAGTAAGTTTTTATTATTATTTTTGTGGGGGGTACTGGGGATCGAACTCGGGACCTTGTGCTTGTGAGGCAGGCGATGGCACCACTGAGCTAAATCCCCAGCCCCAGCTTATATTATTGTTTGTTTGGTTTTTTTTTAGTACTGGGGATCGAACTAGGGTCCTTGCGCTTGCGCAGCTGGCAGCGAAAACACTGAGCTAAATCCCCAGCTCCCCAGCTTATATTATTGATTTTAGATCTTCTTTCCTATGTATTTGAAACTATAAATTTTGCTTTAAGCACTACTTTCACTGACACACCCCCATTTTCTTTTTTTTTTCTTAGTTCAAAATACTTTAAAATTTCTTTTAAAGACAGTTGTGGTGGCATATGCCTACAACCCCAGCCACTCAGGATGCTGAGGCAGGAGGATTGCAAGTTCAAGACCAACCTGAGCAACTTAGTGAGACCTTGTCACAAAATAAAATTTAAAAAGGGTTGACTGAGGCTGTATCTTTTTTTTTTTTTTTGGTACTTGGGTCCCTGCGTTTGCAGGGCAGGAAGCAGAACCACTGAGCTAAACCCCCAGCCCTAGGCTGTATCTTAATAATGGAATGCTTTTCCAACATGTGCCAGGTCTTGGGTTCAATCCTAAGTATTGTAAAAAAAGATCTTTTGAAATTTTCTTTTCACATGTATTATTTAGATTGTGTGTATTTTGAGATTTCCATCTATCTTTCATTTGATTTCATTTAATTCTGCTGTGGCATGAAAGGAGACACTGCATGCTTTCTAATAATTTAAATTTGTTAAAATGTGTTTTATGAACCAGAATATGGTCTAACTTGGTAAATTTTTCATGCCAGCTTGAGAAGAATGTGCGTTCTGTTATAATGGGATGAGCCAGCCAATAAACGTCAAGTATATCTAGTTGATTGATAATGTTGCTGAGTTTAACTATGTCCTTACTGATTTTCTGCCTGGTAATCTGTCCATGTCTAATAGAAGGGTACTGCCATCTCCAACTATGATAGTGGTTTCATCTATTTCCCTTTGTAGCTCTATCAATTTTTGCCATATAATGTTCTGCTGTTAGGCATATATATGTTTTGTTTTGTTTTCTGATTGTTTAACTGATTTTAATAACATGACATAAAGTCCCTAGAATTGATATAATCATTATGCAAAATACATCGATGAATACTGTCTTCTTTTAAAACTATAAAATAAATAAGCAAGACTTGAAAATAGGCAAGTCTCCACTAAATAAATGAAAACTTTAAAACTTTAAAAAAAGAAAGTTTTCCTTTCCATGTCATTTGAAGGGAAATTATCATTTTAAACAATATTCAAGTTTATTAAACAAATTTAAAAATTTAAACATTTAAAAAATGTTTAACTTTCATCAGCTTCAAGGTTTATGTTGCTGCTGAATTTTACATACAACTGAACTTTCAAATCTGCTAACACCCGCTGAATTGATTCTACTCTGGATTCTAAGGTATCAATTTCTTCTTGCAAATTTTTCTTTGCTTCTTCTAACATGTCTTGTGTTTCTTGAGAATGGCTAATGAAGACGTCACCAATCTGGTAAGGTATCATTAAGCTGTCATCATCTGCGAGCATGATGTCGTCACAAGCATCTTCTAAGTTCTGGAGTTGTTTCTTTTTTAATTCTATTTCTTCCTTTAGCTCTGTGATTCTACCCGTATTCCGCGCAAATTTATTTATCTTTTGTTGATCTTCGAAAGTAACACTGACATCTTCTGCAGCCTGGGCACTTGTGACCAGTGATGTAAGACAATGGACTTTCATTTCTCCTGGGGTTGAAAGACAGCAATTTCATGTATCACCTAAAAATACATATTAAAAAGATGCTCTGAGTTTGATCCCCAGCTGAGCTTCTCATCAGCTGAGTCACTACAGCACTAGCAATCGCTGTGTCCAAGTTTCTCCGTCGCCTTCTTCATGGTGGCCGCCATCTTGGGACTCAGGCATATGTATTGTTAATGGTTATACCGTCTTAGATTCCTGTTTTTTTTTTTTCTGGTATCAGGGATTGAACTCTGGAACTTGTGCTTGCAAGGCAGGCGGTGGAACCACTGAGCTAAATCCCCAGCCCTAAATTATACCTTCTTAGAGAATTGACCCTTTTGTTATTATGTAATGTCCCTACTTATGTTTGATGAATTTCCCCACTTTACTCTGAAATTTTCATAGCTACTCCTGCTTTCTTTTGACTAGTGTTAGAAAAGACTAGCTCTCTCCACCCACTTTTTTTTTTTGTACCAGGGATCGAACTCGGGACTTTACACTTGCCAGGCAGGCGGTGGAACCCCTGAGCTAAATCCCTGGTCCCCATTTATTTTTAATCTATATTTTTCTTTGTATTTAAAGTGGTGGGGTTTTTTGTTTGTTTGTTTGTTTGTTTGAGACAGGGTCTTGCTATATATGGAGTACAGGTTGGTCTTGAACTCACTATGTAGCCCAGGCCGGCCTCAAACTCACGGTGATCCTCCTGCTTCAGCCTCCTGAATGCTGGGATTACAGATGTGCACAACTATGCCTGGCTAAAGTCATTTTTGTAGAGACAACATATAGTTAGCTCTTATATTTGATCCAGTCTAACAATTTTTTAAATTAATTCATTTAGACCATTGGTGTTCAAAATGATCATTGATATAGTTGGTTTAAAATCCTCTTTGTTTTATCTATTTTTGTCTTCAATTCTCTTTCTACCTTTTGTGGTTTTAACTGATAAGCTTATATGTTTCATTTTCTGTCTTCATTAGCATATTACTTATACTTCATTTTAGTTTTTAGTAGTTGCTCTAGAGATTGCAATATATATTTACAACTTACTTAGGTGTACTTTCAAATACTACTATATCATTTCAGGTATAGTGCAAGGACTTTATAATAAAAAAAATCCTGATTCTTTCCTCCCATTCCTTACATCATTGCTGTCATTCATTTTATATATATATATATATATATATATATATATATACACACACACACACACATTAATAGATTGTTGCTATTATTATTTTGAACAAACTGTTATCTACTAGATCACTTAAAATTGTAGATCAGGTATAGTTCAGTGGTAGAGTGCTCGACTAGCATATATGGGGCCCTGGTACTGCAAAAAATAAGTATGTCAATGAATAAAATATTAAGAAAAATAAGTTTTAATTTTACCTTCATGTATTCCTTCTTTGATGCACTTCTGTCCTTTATATAGTTCTGAGTTTCTGACCTATGTATTTTCCTTCTCTATGAAGACCTATTTAGCTGGGTGGTGTGTACCTGTACCTGTAATCCCAGAACCCTGGGAGTAAGGCAGACAATAAGTTCAAGCCCAGCCTGGGCAACTTAGTGACCTAGCAAGACCCTATCTCAAAAGTATGAATTAATAAAGGGCTGGGGATGTAGCTCAGTTTGAAGGCCTTGAATTCAATCCCCAGTACTGCAAAGAAACCAACCCTTTTTATTCTCCTCCTTTTTCTTCCCCTGCTTCTCCTTCTTTCCTTTTTTCTTCTCCTCCCTCTCCCCCTCCCCCGTCCTTGTTATCGCTCCTGCTCCCCTCCCCCACTATTTCCCCTACTTCCCCTTCCTCCTACTCCTTTCTTCTTTTTCTAGTAGTTCTGGGCATTGAACCCAGGGTTTTCATATTGAACTACATCCCCAGGCCATGTAGACATTTTTTTCTTTAAGGAAGGGCCTCACTAAATTGCCTAGGCTGGGCTCATACTCGCAATCCTCCTGCCTCAGCCTCTCAGAGTACTGAGATTTATGAAGAACTTCTTTTAACATTTCTTGGAAGGCAGGTCATGAATTCTCTCATTTTCTGTTTGTCTGAAAAAGTCTTCACTTTTCCTTCACTTTTGAAAGATGATTTCACAAGGTAAGTACTTCTCAGTTGTTGTCCTCCCCTGCCCCCCAAGTATTTCAATCTACTCCGTTCCTGTCTGCATGATTTCTGGGAAGTTAGATTTACTTATCTTTGTTCCTTTACAGGTAAGGTGTTTTATTCCTTTGGCTTTTTTCAAGATTGTTTTTGTATCTTTGATTTTCTGCAATTTGAGCATGATATGCCTAGATATAGCTTTCAGTTTTCAGCCAGCTGTCTGGCTATGTGTGTGTGCATGTGCGTGCATGGGATGGGGTGCAAGGAAAGCTGGGATTGAATCCAGGGCCTTTGCACTGAGCTATATGCCCACTCTCCTTTTTACTGTTTTTTTTAAAAAAATTGTAAACAAGATCTTACTGGGTCACTCAATTGCCCGGGCTGGCCTTGAACTCCCAGAGTGCTGAGATTACAGGGATGTGCCACCACTCTTCATTGCCTGTTTGATCTTGCGTGCTGTTTGTTTTATACATTAGAGCAAGTGTGGCAACCTGCTGCCCTAGGCCCCTGGACATCTAGTAATGGAGACCCACAAGATTGTAAACTTTTAATATTATTATGTAATTTTAAGCAATATTTTTCATGACTTGATTTGTGGAGCTCAGTGTGGACTGCCTAGTTGATAAGAGAGCACTGGTGTAAGAGTCGGTTCTGCCAGCTGCATCTCTCATTACCAGGACACAACACTCAACATCTATAACTTAAAGGAGAAGTTGATTTTGGTCATGTTCTTAGCCCGTAGATGGCTAGCCCCACAGCAGGAAGGCATGGTGGAAGGGTCTAGAGGAGGAAAGCTACCCACACCATGGCAGGCAGGAAGCAGACAGAGAAGACAGGAGCTGGGGGGAGATGTGGCCCTCCAGATCACACCCCCAGCCACCCACCTCTAACTATGCCTCACCTTCCACACTAAGCCAGCTGTAGATTTCTCATAATTCAATCACCTTTGGAAAGCTCTGCCTTTGAGCACATGAGGCTCTCAGGAGACATTCAGATCCAAACCATAACTCATGGCATCTGGGAAGCAGATAGCAGGGGCAGAGCCAGAGAGGAATGGGCCAGCGATGAGATGTAGTCCCCAGGGTCATGCCCACGTGACCCACTTCCTCCAACTTAGGCTGTACTTTTTAATAGCCCATGAGGATGTTAGTACCCTCATAATCCAGTCACCACTCTAGGATTCGCTTAATCCAGTTAAATTGGTGATCCAGATTAACCTGCACCATAACCACTATCCTCATCAGAATCTGTATCTCAAATACAAATTCAAACTTGCTGGAGCCAGGGTGGTGCGTGCCTGTGATCCCTGGGACTTGGGTGACTGAGGCAGGAAGATCGCCAGTTCAAGGCCAGACTGGGAAACCTAGGGAGGCCCTAATGAGGGAAGAGATAGTGTGGAAAACATCTTGGTCTTAGGCTCACAGTAGACAGGGTCCCTTTCAGTTTGTGAAGATCAAAGGAACATCCTGCCCTTACCATACTTCCTTGATGTTCTGGCATGAGCCTGAGAGATAGGCTCCTGCCTCTATCATACTTCCTTAATATCTGGCGTGGGCCTGGAGGAGTAACCCTGGAGTCATAATATCATCAAGATTATGGCTTTGACCCTCGTGGTGGGCTTTGGCAATCATGCTCTTACAAATAGGCCCACATATGTTCAAAAACCCTCCCTCCTGAGATGAGGTTGGAGACACAATTAACTGGAGAAAGTCCCATTAGGTACCACCCCAGACCCCAAGACCCAGGAAAGGTCCAAATAAATGAATACCTCAAACCTAAAACAGATGAGCCCACTCTGTATCAAGCTCACTTGGGTTTTCTCATTGGCCTGCTCTCACTCTGTGAAGTGAACTTTCCTTTTAATAAAAAACTCTGCTTTTCTTTGCTCTGTGTATCCTGGTCAATTCTTTGTTCATGAAACCTGCATATTAGATGAGATGGAGACCACTTACTTATCCAGTGACACTTTCTCAAAATAAAATTTAAAAAGGCTTGGAGTGTAGCTCAGCCCTAGAGTAGCTGGCTGGCATGTGCAAGGCCTTGGGTCCAATCTTAGTGCTGAAAAACAATCAAACTTGAGCCTTTGTACTACTTAGTACAAATGAGAAATTCAATGTTTCATTTATAATTTTATTTAAAAAACACTTTGCCACCAATGAGCCAAGCAAAATTTCTGAAACAGAGAAAGGAGAGTAAGGAATTCTCAAATGTTTCTCATGAACATAAAAATTACACTACCTAATAAATATCCTTCAAGAGCTTACAGTTTTCAGAAGAAGATAAACATATTCATGGTTACTAGTGAAGCCGTTTTCTTGTATAATATAAGTGAAATGCTATGGTTGCTGAGAGGAGGAGCCAATTTCAAACAAGGGGAATTTGAGCCTCAGAACTTGAAGGAAAGGCAAGATTTTGATAAACAGAATGAAACATTCCAGAAGGAACCAAGTGAACTGATAGAGTCAAACTGCATGGCATAGCTGGAGAACTATAAGTAGCCTATGATGAATGATGAGAGGCTGTGGTGAGGCTGAAGAAGTTAATCATTATTATATTGTATGGGTCTTACTTAAATATGAAGTCAGGGTTCAAATATTACACTGTAAAGGCCACTAGACCTTCTAGAAGAGAAGGAATACTATGCTCAGTTTCATCCCTGTGCTTGAGGTGAATTAATTACCTCAGGTGAGAGAAGCAGCAAAGGTAGTAGTGATATATGTATTAGATGGTCTTGGGACCATCTTACTTTATGGTCCTTTCTGACCAAAAGATCTGATCACCAGAGGTGGAAAAGCCATTGACAAGGAAATCAGCACATATTGGCCATGGTAGTAGATAGAAAACACAGACCTTGACTCACAAGAGTTGTACAGTCATGGTCCTAAACTAAGAGTCAAAATACGTAAAGATCCCAGCAGAGAGAAGAGATAGAGAAGTCCAGAAGGCTCTGAACTGCAATTAGGGAATGTTCACTTTTATGCAGTGTGGGGAGGAAGAATCAGCAAAAAGATCAGAAAATGTCAGATGAGAGGAAATCTGGGAGACCACACTCTCATGAAAGCAAGGAAA